CTCGCTGCTGGCCTTCGGGGTGATGGGTCCCCGTGGGTCCGCCGGTTGCCGGAGGAGGGATGTTCCTCACTCACCACTTTTGAGAAGGGGATTGGCTTGCGGGCCGCGGGGTATCGGCCCCCGCGCTCCCACGAACACGCAGCCGCCGCGTGTGCTCGGTAGACAAAAGGGGCTTGTTCCAGCGCTTTGTGCGTTCAGGGGAGGGTCCCCCGGGGTCACCGCTCCGCCGCTGCGGCCGGCCGAGGTGTGTGCGGAGAGGGGCGGCCCTCGCCTGTGGCGCGGGGGGTGCGGGCCGGAAAGAGGAAGGGCGTCCCCGCACACGATGACTGAGTTTGGCCTCTGAGCCCACTCCGGGCAGAATCCTTCTGTGGAAGAGTCCCACGGCGGTGCTCACATGCGATCTTAAGCCTTCCATGGGGCTGCAAACGCCCTCCGGCACAGGCTTCCTTGAGCACGTCAGGGGCAAGGAGGGAGGTTGGTGTGGCGCAGGGTGAGCACAGCTCTGGCACTGTTCTGCTTGGGAGTCCTAAGACAAGTTTCTCCGGAGACAGGCAGACATTCCCGTGAGCCATCTGGTGCCCACCATCGGGGCCCAGAGAGAACTCCAGGGATGGTGTTTGGGAAGTGTCCTGGGCTGGCTCAGCCAGGCAGGGCAGCAGGCAGTGGCGTTTAGTTGCCAGTGCTTAGTTCACTAGTGGCAAAGGCAGAACAAGGGGCTGTTTGTGCCAAATTTAGCTCCTTGTGAGTGATGCCAGGGCTGAGCCTGTCCATCCTAGTGCATGTGATCGCCCAGACATGGGTGCAGAGCTATTGGTGTCCTGCAGCAAGTGGGGACACCTTTTATCTCTAGCTCATCCCCGTGGTGGTGGCAGCCAGGACAGGTGGGCACGTGTCTGGACAGAGGACTGAGGTGAAGGTGGAGCCTCCCTTGCATGCTCTGCTGGTGCCTGGCGGTGGGCAGCAGCATGGCAAGGGGTAAACCCAGGTGCTCCACTGACTGCATGGTAGGACTGGGAGCCCTCACAGACAGTCAGGGTACCCTGCCAGGAAGGCCGCCCCATGGCTGACATCTGGGTAGGAGGGCAGCCTGCCTGCACAGGCAGGCACATTGGGCTGTGCCCAGCCTGGGTATGGCATTACAGTGCTAAGATCCTTGGAAAAATGGGAGAGCTGTTGGTTCTGGGCACAGCTGTGCCAGGCAAAGCCATGGGGCAGTGGTGCTCTGGGCAGGAGGCTTGGCTGCCCCTGCCTTTCTCCCTCCTAAGGTGACATTTTGTCCAGGGGTAGTGGAATGCCTCCTGAGCCCTGCCCAGCATTAGGGCTGGAAAGTGGTGCCCAGGGGCATATGCACAATGACTGACCTGCTAGGAAGCCATGTGTGCTCCCTGGCACTGAGGTCTGGCTGCTGCCCAAAACTGGTCGTGCAGGCACTTTGAGCAGAGGTCATTCCCTGGCCAGACTGGGAGCAACTGGGCAGGGTGAAGAGCCCATGGGCAGGGTGGGTGCAGGAGCCTCAGCATGGGGCCAGGTTAGCTCTGCCGTGCAGGTGGCTATAGGGTCTTGCCGCATCCACACTGGGGCATGGGGCACCCCAGGTCCTGCCCCATGCACCTGCATGCCCTGTGCTACTTCCACCACGGAGAAGCAGCTCCAGTCGCTTGCCAGCCCTTTGGTGTGGAGTTGGCAATCCCTGGCCATTGCAGAGGCAGGATGGGCAGAGATCAGTGCTGGCAATGGACACTGCCTAGCCCAGCCGGGCACTGCTTGTCCCAGGGCTGCCAGGACTGCACCTACCAGCTAGGGCAGAGGGCATGGGCCGGGATCTCATGTGCTGGCAGCACCATGGCTATACTTCCTCTAAGCACAGCAATACAGGGTGCCAGGTTCATTTTGGTTGTGGGTGTCAGGGAGGGTAGGCATGTGCCAGGGCTCAGCACTTCTACTGTTGTCTCCTATGTGCACATAGGGTGGGATAGCATCCTTTGGGCATTGAAATCACCACGGGTGCCCAGACAGGCTCAGTGTGGGGTTGGAAGCAGCAGCAGGGGGCTGGCATCCATGCTGGACAAAGGGCCCTTGTGCTGCCTGCGAGGGAATCTGCTGGGATGGGACATTTTTCTTTCTCTCCCCTCCCTGATGCTCTTGCTCAGAAATTCACGCGACCAGAGAAGGGAGAAAGCCTGGCCCCACAGATCCCTCTGTGGTGCCTGGGGCTCAGATACCTTCTCGGAAGCCTCTTTCTCCCCTGACACGCGGTGGCCATGGAACATCCCTTGGGATATTCTGGGGGCTGTGCTCCTGCCCCCCTTGATGCCCCTCTCTGTCACCCAGGTGGAGGATGGGGGCAAGGCTGCACTGTCCCGCCGGCTGCAGCCAGGTGATGAGCTGGTGAACATCAGCGGGACCCCACTGTACGGATCCCGCCAGGAGGCCCTCATCCTCATCAAGGGCTCCTACCGCACTCTGAAGATGGTTGTTCGCAGGTTGGCAGTGCTGTGGAAGGGACACAGGGAGGGCCATTGGGGCTTCACCTGCCTGGGGGACTGGCAGGAACCTGGAGGTGCCCCTTGCTGGGACAGGGTGGGGAGCAGCCCCTTTGCTGCTGTCAGCACTCCCGCTAAGTGGGGGTGCCACATCCAGCAGAGCCAGGGTAGTGCATCGGGCTCACCACCCCCTCGCTGGGCGGTATCCTCAAGCGTGGCCGCTCCTCTCCCTTCCTGCCTGCTTGCCTGCCTCCTGCCTGCCTGCTTGCCTGGGAAAGGAAGGAGAGGCAGGGCTGGGCCTTGCAGTCCCTTCCCCCCCAGCCCCTCCAACTGCATCCATTCCCTGGCTGCATCCTGACTGAGTCCAGTTCCAGCAGCACTCAGGGGCAGGGACGGCGCGAGGGCACTGCCCAAGGGGCAGGGATCCCACGGGACTGTGCTGGGGCTCAGCATCATCCATGGTGAGTTTGGGGGTTCTGGGAAGTCCCTGTGCTGATAAGAGCTTGCCGCTCTTATCCAGTCATTAAATGTGGCAGCACTTGGCAGTTGGGAGGTACAGGAGGTGGCTTCTGACCATGTCTGTGCAGTGGCATTTGTTGGGTGGGCTGGAGATTCCTGTGGATGCTGTGAGGGGTGGGACAGAGACCAGCACAGGACCCTTCCTAGAGACATGACGTGGCTGGTGCTTGCTGCAGATACTGAGGGACAAAAGAACGAGGGGGAAGGTCAGGCTTGCAGTGGAGACAGATGTGGCCCCAGTGTCCCTTGGTGGAGCTAATCCAGTCCCAGCAGAGACGCTTGCCTTGCTCAGGTCATTGCCTATGGGCTATGCAGGGGCTGTGTCCTAGGTCTCCTGTTAATGCGGCAACAGGGATGCTGCAGTCTGGGGAGCCCTGGCCAGCTGGGTGAGCTGTGAGATCCCCTTGCCCAGTGCCGGGTGCATGCAGGACTGGACCCTCCTTGCTGCCATCCCCTTTGGGCGGGCACTGGCCTGGGGGGGACAGGAAACCCCGTAGGAAGTGACTTCAGCCCCGGTTCCTTGGCCTGGCTTCCTCCCCATTCTTGTCCTTTCCCGCTGTTGCTCTTGGCAGGAGGAACGTGCCCGTCTTCCGGCCCCATTCCTGGCACGTGGCCAAACTTGCCGAAAGCCGCCCAGACGTCCCCACCATGCACTGCCCGGCTGATGCCTTCAGCTTCTCCTGGCCTTCAGGGTGTGATGTCAGGTGAGACCCTGGGGGCAGTTATGAGACTGTGCAAGGGGAGAGTGCAGACAAGGACACCCCTTGGGTTGTGGCAGTGGGGGTGGCATAGGGGGTCGCACAGTAGTTTCGGGCATCCCTCCTCATCCTGCACTACCCTTTCCCCTGGCTGTTTACTCCCGGCTCCCGGCAGGAAGGGGCGGTGGCTCTGCTGGAGACAGCCAGGAGCTGCTTAGTCCCACTGCCCCGGCTGCCAGACCTGGGAGGTCTCGAGTGGCTGGAGTCACACACACCCTGTGTTCCCTGTGCCTGTTCCCTTTGCCAGTGCCAGGCAACCTTGGTGGTGGCCCCAACCCGGGGGTGAAGGGCAGGTTGGGGTAGTGCTGCCCTGTGCTCCGTTGTCCCAGGAGGGTGTATGTGGGGGGATGGGCTCCTTGGAATCTCTGTGGAGCTGGATGAGGGGCAGCAGGTGCCTGTAACACTGACGTGGGGCTAGGCAGCAGCAAGCTGTCCCTGCAGTGGAACCCACTGTCCTGGCACTGCAGCACTGACCGGAGCAGCTCCATCGGGAGCATGGAGAGCCTGGATCATCCCAGCCAGGCCTGCTATGAAGGAGACCCCTCACCCGTTGACCAGGGCATGTACCACAGCAAGCGGGACTCGGCCTACAGCTCCTTCTCTGCCAGCTCCATTGCCTCTGACTGCGCCCTCTCTCTCCGTCCTGAAGAGGCCGTGTCCATTGATTCGAGCCTCCAAGGCCCCCGCAAAGCCCCTGACAGGCACTACCTGACCACAGGGGCTGAGCCATCTGCCAGCTGGCACCCTGAGGCGTGGCGGGCACCAGTGCCCCCCCAGCCCCCTGTCAGGAGGGACAGCCTGCGAGCAGCCCCAACTGGCAGAGGGGACAAGTGCCAGGCCTCAGTGTCAGTGGATATGCTGCATGCCAAGGGCCGGTGGATCTCTGACACCTTCCTCTGCCAGCGGGATGGGGAAGCAGAAATAGTGGGCAGGAGGAAACTGGAGCCATACCCCACAAAAGACTGTCTTTCTGCTGACCAGTATTACATGCTGAGCTCCCACCCGGACCGTTGCCCAGCTGAGCCACTCCTGGGGGAGAGCATGGAGTCTGACAACCAGCCATACGTGGATGACAGCATGCACCAAGTGCCTGATGCCACAACAGCAGGTGACAACCCATTGCTGTCCCCTCTCAAGGGCCACGTGTCGCACCGTCACAGTGCTCCCGAGCAACTGCTGGCCTCCCAGTTCCGCTCTCTCCAGCTGGGCACCAACAGCGGGCGAGCCTCTCCAGCCCCTGGTGGGCAACACTGGACCTTGTCTCCGCTGCATCCTGAGGGCAGCCGAGGGGGAACCACAGGGGCTGCCCAGGATCCCCCGCTCTGCCCAGAGCCTGGCTGCCGCCCACCACCCTGCCGCTGCTGCCCTGAGCTGCAGCAAGCCTGCGGGCAGGATGGCCGGGGGGCAAGCCCAGTACTCAGCACTGAGGGGCCAGTGGAGGAGGAGAGCCGGGGAGGGGCCCGGCGGGCTGGAGGTCCTCCCCACCGCTCTGCTCAGATGCGCCGCCGCAGCGACCGCTTTGCCACCAGCCTGCGCAACGAGATCCAGCGGCGCAAGGCCCAGCTGCAGAAGAGCCGGGGTCCTGGTGCACCTCTGCCTGGTGAGGAGCCAGTGGAGGAAACTGAGGAGCCCCCAGAGGGCAGTGTACTGGCAGAGCGACAGCCTGCCCCGTCTGGGTGTCACAGCCCCGCACCGAGTGAGGAGAGCAGGAACTCTGGCCGCTCTGCAGATCGGGGCATCCCCACTCCTGACCCAGCCCCTAAAGGGCCCTTGTCCCCTGAGCGGGTGGTGCCAACAGCCAGGGGCCGCTGGCGCTGGTCCCCGGAAAACAAGCTGCAGCCACAACACTCGCCCAGCCACAGTGAACTGGAGGGCTACAGCCAGGGCCCGGCGGCCTGCAGCTCCCCACCACCACGGGGCAGCGACGAAGCAGTCCTGCTGCCCTTTGCCGACCGCCGCCGGTTCTTTGAGGAGAGCAGCCGACTGACACCACCCCGGCACAGCAAGCCACCAGCAGGTGATCCCAGCACCTTCCAGCCCCCTGGCCCTGAGCACCGGGATGTCCGCCGCCTCTCTGTGGACCAGCCCTACAGCCCACCCTCACCCAGCCGCCCTGGCTCCGCTGGCCCCTATGCTGAGTGCTGCCGGGAGCAGCCCCACTGCTACAAGCCACTGGGGAGGCCAGGGGAGCTGGATTACCTGTGGGGCTTTTCCTACCCCTACGGGGTTCCCCTGCGCCCTGAGCCCTACCACTACTGTGGAGGGGACCTGTGCCCGCCACCACGGCCCCGTGGCCACACATGCCGCTGTCACCCTGTGTCCTGGGTGCGCTGCCCTGACTGCTGCTACCCAGCTACCCATCCTGGGCGAGAGGAGAGTGATGCCTGGCCCCTCCGGAGAGCTTTCGTCCCAGTGAGTAATGCCCTGTGGGACTGTGCTGGGGAGCAGCACTGACACTCCCTTGCACCCCTGGACTATGACCCTGGGTTGGGGTGGGGGGTACTGTTCCCCCATTCGCCCTGCAGACTGCCTGCAAGTCTTCTGCATCTGAATGGGGATGGGACAGAGGTGCTGGGGGATGGATTTCACACTGCCTCCCCCTCACACAGGAATTTCCTCAGGGTGAGTGGGAACCACCTTCAGTCACCAGGAAAGTCAGCCAGTCCATCAGGTGAGCCCATGCCAAATGCCACGATGCTGGGATGTGTGTGCCACTCAGTGGGGACCTCAGGGGATGTGGGGACTGCCTGGGGGATGTGGGGACTGCCATGATTTTGACTGGGATGTAGAAAGTGCCTCCCATACTTCCTTGGCCATCCTTGGCTGGTGCTCTTTGAGGCAGAAGGAGGCACGCAGGGCAAGGGTGTGTGAGGAGATGTCCACAGCAAAGGTGGTCCCTCCTTACCCTTCCCCAGGGTTCTGGGGCCATCTCTGGGGAACTGTGCCCAGCAGATAAGCCTGAGCTTCTCCCACCAGTGTGACTGAATGACTAGCTGGGGTAAATGAGGCAGGGCATGAAACGGGCCTGAACTGCCAGATGGGTGACTGTGTATGGCAGGACTGGTGCCTCCTTCTCTTCCTAGTGAGCTCTCCAGCTACCCGCCCGGTTTCCCAAGGCTTGGCCCATTCCACACCTGCCTTGAGAGCACTGAGCCAGAGTGGCCACCCTGCTACCGGGCCACATCCACGCATGACCTTTTGTGGGATAGTGACCGCCTGGCCCACACTCCTGAGAGTCCCCCGGATCCGCTGCACCGCCCACTAAGGGGCAGAGCCTTCTCTGAGAGCCATCTCAACCTGGAACCTTCCAGCCCCTGGGGCTGTGACCAGAAGGACCTTTTCCGTGCCAAGCTGGACCCTCCCAGCATCCCCAAAAAGAAGGGCCCCCCACCTCCCCGCCCACCTCCGCCCAACTGGGAGAAGTACAGACAGCGTCGGGCATCCCAGCACCCGCCAGATGGTGCTGGGCGTGGCTCTGCCTTCTCTGCTGCCCCAATGCCAACCCGCAGCATTGCTGAGGCAGTGAGGGAGCGGTCACAGAGCCTCACCGGGGAGCAGAAAGGCCAGTCCTGGGGGCACACTGCTTGCCCCCCTGCTCCGTCAGGTGCCTGGCCCCGACCTGAGGCCCCCAGATCACTCCGCAGGACTCCTGGGCCTGATGCTGCCAACGCGGAAATTTGCAGGTAAGTGGTGCCATGGCATGGGGGTGGGCTCTTGTACCCTGTATCAGGGCATCCTAATCCTTAGAGCACCGTGTGGGGTTTTTTTGTGTTGTGGACTGTCCCTGTCCCTGACCTCTTTCCCTGGCATGGCCATAGCCCTGAGGGGAGCTGACATGCCCTGGGTGGGTGTTGACAGGGTGTCAGGAGCCGGGGAGAAGCGGACAAAGATGAAGCGGTCTGGGGAGATGGAGGAGCAGCCCCAAAGGCTCATCCAGAACCAGGAGCAAGACCGTGCCAGTCCCCGTGGGGTGGGTGAGTGCTCCCTGTCCCTGCCTTGTGGCTCTTGCCCTGCCCTGCCGGAGGCACTTAAGCCCAGTTCTGGGGCAGTGGAGGGGGTGAGCTGCCAGGGCAGCTGGCCCCAGCCCCGCTGCATGGACTCTGAGGAACGACTGTGGGACGTGGCTGTCAGGGACCATTCCCTGGCCAGTGTCCTGGCCCCCTTGGCTTCCCCTGGCACCGCCAGTGAGGTGATGGGTGAGCTGCTGGTGGCTGGGGAGCGACCGGCCTGGCGGAAGTGTCTCCAGCAGGACTGGCACCTGGAGGCCCTGGCACAGGACAGGTAGGGCTGTCACACCACCGGGCCCCATACCAAGAGCAGGCTGACACCCCCCAGTGCTTATCGCTGTATCTCTGTCTCCCCAGGCAAGGTTTTGAGCCCATCTCGCTGCCTCCCAGGAGTGCTGCCAGCTCCAGTTCCTTCCCAGTGCACTTTGGTGTTGCAGTGGGCAAAACTGAGCCACTCAACAAGGTAAAGGCGCTGCCGGAGGTAGTGGAGGGGAGCTCGGAGGATGAGGAGGAGGAGGTGGACCATGAGCTAGTGGAAAAGAAGGTACAAGACCCTACTGGGACCAATTCCCTTGTGGTTCCCCACTGTCCTGGCCAGGTGCTCATGGAGGCTGGGTGCATTTCTGGATGCTCACGGGGACTGAGGCATCACTGGTTGTTCCTGGGAGCCGGGGACATCACCAGGCACTCATGGGCATGGGGGTAATTGCTGGACACTTGCGGGTACCAGGAACATTACCATATACTCACATGGGCCTGGGGCATTGCCGGATGTCTGCAAGGACCAGGGGCATCGTCAGGTGCCTGCAGGACCTGGGAGTCTCACCAGATGCTCGTGGGGACCAGTGGCATCTACAGATGCTTGATGTTTGCAGGGGCTGGGATGTTCCCAGATACCCACAGGGACGGGGGCATCCATTAGGTGCACACGGACTCTGGGACATGGACAGATTCTTGTGGGGACTGGGAATTGCCAGTAGCTCATGGGAACCTGGGGTACCGCAAGGTTCTTTTGTTCTGTCGGCCCCAGCACAGCGCCCCTACGCCTCCGTGCCAGTCCCCCGATCCCATGGGGAGTGGCCCCAGTTCCCCCTGACCCCTTTGCTCTGGCAGCTGCAGCTGATCGAGAGTCTGAGCCGCAAGCTGGTGGTGCTGCAGGAGGCACAGCGGGGGCTGCAGGAGGACATTAGTGCCAATGGGGCACTGGGTGAAGATGTGGCTGCTCGCCTGCAAGCCCTCTGCACCCCAGGGGAGTTCGACAAGTACCGCCTCTTCGTGGGTGACCTGGACAAGGTGGTCAACCTCCTGCTCTCCCTCTCGGGTCGCCTGGCCCGGGTGGAAACTGCCCTGGGCAGCCTCGGGCCACACGCCCCTGCTGAGGACAAGGTGGGCATGCGGGAGGGGACCCTCGCCCATGAGGTTTTGGGCTGCGGGATGCCCTGCCAATGCCAGTTGTCTTTCCCACAGCTGGCCCTGCGGGAGAAGCAGCGGCTGTTGGTGGCACAGCTGGAGGATGCCAAAGAGCTGAAGGAGCATGTGGGGCGGCGTGAGGAGGCAGTGGGTGCCATGGTGGCACGGTACCTGCCCCCTGAGCACCTCCAGGACTACCAGCACTTCGTCAAGATGAAGTCAGCCCTCATTGCTGAGCAGAGAGAGCTGGAAGAGAAGATCAAGCTGGGCCAGGAACAGCTCAGGTGCCTGCGTGAGAGCCTTGGCCAGGCCTCCAAGGACTGCTAGCCCCCCTACCCAGTCTCCCTCTGGGATCCTGGCTGTGATCCCAGATTGCTACCAAAGAGGATCCAGCCCCTTGTGGATTCTCCCTGTGTCTGTTCATCTGTCCAGCCCCTGCCTTTTATTTATTTTTCTGATTTACCAAGCAGGGGAGGGGGTTGCCAGTCCAGGTGCTGACAGGAGTTGTGCCACAGAGCCGTCATGGGCTCTGGCCATTCAGCAGCCTGTGGCCCAGCAAGACCAGATGGATGGATGCTACCACCACTCTCATGGGTCTTTCTGTGCCTATGAGGTCCCTCTAGCTTGTCCTGGACACCAGTGCCTGTCTTGTATCTGGTGCTGCACCACATGCCTTAAACATCCCCCAGCTACTATTCATGCAGCATCTGAAAGGGTTAAACCGTGCTCACCGGCTGTCCTGTCTGTTTGCCCAGCTCTGTCCATCTGTGTGGGGGGGGGAGCTGAAGGAATTTCAGCCCCAGCATCCTCTTCCTCCTCATTGTGTCAGAAACAATGGTCCCGGCCAGCAGATTCTTAACCCACTCCCTGCTGGCTGAGGGACCACAGGGGGCCGAGGTGAGTGCCAGTAGGTGTTGTGTACCTGTGTCTTGGGATGGTACCCTGCCAGGGCATGGATGCTGGGACAAATACACTGAGGCCTGCACTACTCTCTGTCACCAATGCTGTGGGCATGGAGACAACTCAGCCTCAACCAGCCCTCACCTGTAGCTTCTAGCTCAACACCAGGATTAATAGAGGAAAAACCACATTAAGGACAAAATGGGGTACCTGTCCCCTCCTTTCTGCTGTAACAGCCACAAATAGCACTTAGATGTCACCCCTGCCACCTGTCTCCATGGCATGAGCAGGTGCCTTCATACTGATTTTGCGCAGGGGTTTAATGCAACCAGCAGGAGCTTGGGGCAGGGGGGTAAACGTTTTGGGGAGGCACGTAGGCAGCAGCGCTTTGGTGTGGCCCCATAGCTGGACAACCCAGCCCAGGGTTCAGGCAGCATCCATGCCTGCCTGTGAGCTCCAGCAGCAGCCCTGCTGTGTTGCTGCCCCTGCTCTGGGCTACCCTTTAGCCTGTTAAACACTACACTTCACACTTGCCTGGCTGTACTGTGGGATGGTGCCTGGCAGGAGTGGGGTCCTCAACATTCCCTCCATCTCAACCACCCCAGAATCATTGCTAGGACCAAAGACTGCACCCCCTGGTGGCCATGCTGCTCTCGTGGTGGGGTTCAGCAGCCTTGCCTGCATGTTGCTGCATGCCATTGTATCTCTAACAGTAAAGCAGCAGCAGGAGCTGCACTTCTGTTCCAGCTGTCTCTTGCGTGGTTTGTCCCTGTGCCCCAACAAGTGGCACTGGAGCAGAGAGAGGGTAATTGCTCCAGCTGGGATGAATCAAGGCTTAGCAAGCTCTTGGAAGCTGAATGCCCCCGTGGCCCAGGGGGCACCTGAAGTGCAGCTGTGGGCAGGGTGTCTTCTGCTCCCAGTGCTCCTAGGCTGAGTTGGGGCACGGGTCAGTGCCTGGACTCTTCCGCCGGGATGCATGTAGGAGTCACGGCGCTTGGGTAGTGGATACAGGGTTTTCCCTGGCAATCTCTCGGGGCATAGCTGCCAGAGCATTCGGGGCAGCCCCGGGGAGGGGGTGGCCGTGCCCGGGGGGATGTCGCCGTACTGCTTCTGCTGCTGAGCCTGTTCCGGGGTGCCCCGATTCACCGGGCTGTCCCGATTCACCGCGGTACAGCAGGGGGGTGCCCGGAGCCTTCCCCGGGAACTGCTCTGCTCGCCAGGAGCGCCGGCGGCCGCTGGGCGGCGCCACTGCTCGGACGGGGCATGCGCGTGCAGGTGCGTGTGGGGTGTGGGAGCGCAGGTGCGCGCGAACACGCGCGGTGGGGGGGGGGGCGCTAGTGGCGCGCGCGTGCGCAGATGTTGGGAGGGGCGCGGGGATGCTCCAGGGTGGGCACAAGTGCACGGGGCCAGTGTGAGTGTAGGCGAGTGGGTACACACCCCCACAGTGGGTACACAACCCCACAGTGGGATACGCACCCCCACACTGGGGTACACCCGTACACAACCCCACACTGGGGTACACACCCCCACAGTGGGGTACACACGTGCACAGTGAGGTACACACCCCCACAGTGGGTACACACCCCCACAGTGGGTACACCCGTACACACCCCCACAGTGGGTACACAACCCCACAGTGGGGTACACACCCCCACAGTGGGTACACACCCTCACAGTGGGTACACACCCCCACACCGGGGTACACACATGCATGCACACAGCAGCGTGTTGGCGAGTGGCCAGAAATGTGTGGAGTGTGAGCATATGGCAATGCAGGGGATACAGGCACATGCACGTCAGTGCATAGAAGTGAACATGTACGCACAGTTGGATGTGTGCACATACACATGAGCACACACAGCTGAACTCTTACATAAGTGAATGCATGCACACACCTCTGAGCATGCATGTTCTCATAGTTGAACACATGCCATATATGTGAGTTCTCATGAACAGGGCATAGATCCATGCTGCTGCACACAAGTGTTAGTGGCCGAGTGACTGCACGTGCAGGTGAATGCATGCACGGGGGAACTTGTCCTATGTCTGATGTGCACATGTGAATGCATGCCCACGTTTATAAGTGTGAGTTCATAGGGCTACTTGTGCAAGCCCTTGCATGTGGATAACTGCAGGCACAGGGAAACTGTGCCCCATGACCCATTCAAAACACCATTGTCCCTCCATGCAGCTCCAGCTGCTGCCAGGTATGACTGTCGGCCCACGGCATGGTGGCATGGCTGGCTTGCTGGATACAGGGACCCTCAATGCTGGATGTGGCCATGGCATGGGGTGTCCTGGGGATTGCTTTGTGAGACTCCAGAATTGCAAACAGAACCCACAAAGGTATGGTAGCCCCTGGCCCTGGTGTCTGTCTCCCCATCATGATGATCTCTCCATTATACAGATCCCAGGTCTGTCCCACAATGTCCCATACACCTGAGCTGGGGAAGGATGAGGATATGGCAGGTAGTGATGCTTTAATGAGAGACCCCTGCCACACGTGGGAGATGGGGAATCCTGGAGCAGAAAAGTCCAAACCCCATAGTATGGTACACATAGTAGACCCCCCTCACTCCCACAGTCCATTACAGCCCGAAAGGGAAAGCCGTGCATAGGGAAGGGACAAGAGAGCGCTTCCTGTCCCTGCACTGAGGCAGAATGGCCCAGCAGGAAGGAAGGGATATGGGGCTCTGCCAGCATGGAGAGCCCAGAGCAGCAGTGGGTGAGAGATGAGCGCAGAGGCCCATGCAACACTGTGGGATGGAAAGTGAGGCCAGAGCTTCTCTCCCCAGATTTTTGGTGGCACACCCCCCTGTGTGTATGCATGTGTGTGTGCTCCAACACATGTTCCAGGGCATGCTCTATGCAATCACACCTCTGTGGGGCCATCTGCATGCATGCGCACCACAGAATCACAGAAAGGTTTGGGGTGGGAGGGATTATTGAAGGATATTCTGTCCAATTCTCCCTGCCAGGGGCAGGGTTAGGGTTAGGGCAGGAACATCTTCCAGGGATGTCAGGTTGCTCCAAGCCCTATCCACCCTGTCACTGAACACTTCTAGAGATTGGCCAGCCACAGCTTCTCTGTGCAGCCTGTGCCAGTGCCTCACCACCCCCATGAAAAATGATTTCCTCTTTCTGTGTAATCCAAACACACCGTAAGTCACATTATAACTGATGGCCCTTGTCCTGTCCCTACATGCCCTGTGAAAAACTCTCCTTTTGGAAACTCCTTGATATACTGAAACGCTACTTTAAAGTCTTACTGGAGCCTTGTCTTCTACAGGCTGAACAACCCCATATCTCACAGTCTGTTTCCACAGTAGATTGTTTTCAGCCCTCAGAGCATCTCTGTGGTGTTTTCTTGACCCACTCTAGCAGCAACACATCCTCCTTGTGCTGGAGACCCGTGATCTGGAGCCAGCACTCTTGGGCATGTCACCAGAGGACAGCAGAGCAGATAGGGAGAAGCTGCCTCCCTCATCGTGCTGCCCACCCTGCTGGAGATGCACTCAGGACATGGGCGGCCCTCTGGGCTGCCAGCACATTTGTGTGTGCGTGGAAGTGTGTGGCAGCATCTGTGTATGTGCTCGGCCGTGCCTCCATGTAACGCCATATGCCCATATGGTTGCATGGCAATGGTGCACACGCTCACCTGTGTGTGGGGTGTGCGTGTGGGTATGGGCACAAAAATGTGCGTGGCCACAGGGTTAATGCTCACCTGTGCCAGCCGTGTCCCTGCCCTTGTCCATGTGGGGAATGCACAAATATGTGCACAGTGGCAGCGCACGTGCTCGCCCGTGCCCACAAAAATCTATGTGCAGGCACAGGGTGCATGTGCTTTCCCATGCCCAGGGTGCGCAGGCCTGTGTGGTCTGTGATTGCTTGTGCATATGCCTGTGTGGAGGTACACACGCATGTGCGGCTGTGATGCCTAGGCATGTGCTGGCCCTGCCCACGTGGGTGGCGCATACACAGGTGCACTGCAGTGCTGCATGTGCTCTCCCGGGCCCATGCATGTATCCATGCGAGGGGAGCATCCGTTTGTGCACGGTGCAAGCCGTGTCTGCCCGTGCATGTGC